GGACACACAGCATCCGTATTGACGAATGGTAAAGTATTAGTTACGGGCGGATATGATGGTAGTTTTCGCCTAGATAGTACTGAATTATATGATCCATCAACAGGAAACTGGACAATGACTGCTAGTATGAAGGATGTACGAAATGCACATACAGCTTCTGTATTAACAAATGGAAAAGTGTTAGTTACGGGTGGAGTTGGTATTTCTTTTCTAAAGAGTACTGAATTGTATGACCCATCAACTGGAACTTGGACAACAAGTAGTAGTATGAATAATACACGATTTTTACATACAGCATCCGTATTAACAAATGAAAAAGTTTTAATTACTGGTGGACAAGGTTCTGATTATTATCTAGATGGTGCTGAGCTGTATGATCCATCAACAGGAAACTGGACAATGACAGCTAGTATGAGTTATGCACGATCTGTACACACAGCATCCGTATTAACAAATGGAAATGTGTTAGTTTCGGGTGGATTTGCGGATATAGCTGTAAATAGTTCTGAATTATATTAATTATCTCAAATAAATGAACAATTAATAATCTTTTGTTTATAGGTAGATGCAATCTTATATTCGATTACTAATTTGAGGCAAGAGAAATATGATATGACAATGAATGGTTTCCTTCTATATCTTTGTTAAATTGTTGTACATTTGAGAATGTGATTTCAAATATCAAAATATTATGTTTCTATATTTTGGTTTGTTAAGCTTCTTGTGATGAAAAATCTCAGTGCATATGATGACTTTGTTCTGTTAGAAGTGTTTCATGAAATTTCCAATTAATCTGTTGTCCAAAAATTTCATTTTCTTTAATATAAGGTTGGCAACAAAGTTTTTGCGTTTTTTTCAAAAATTTTATTTTTATTTCCTAACTTCAACAGTACAACTAGCTTTCAGTTATATATGCACCACTACTATCTATGACTTGTCGCCAACGCTCTGGCAGAGATAGGATCCCGCGTTCGTAGAAGTCCTGGGACTTTCGACCAAAGAAGTTGGCGATATCCATTTTCACGTCGTTCTCGTCGTCGAACTTTTTCTCACGCAAATGATGAGAAAGAGAACGAAACAAATGGTAGTCTGTTGGAGCCAAGTCAGGAGAATAAGGCGGATGAGGAATGGTAATCCATCCGAGCTTCATTCATTTTTCGCAGGTCGACTTTGCAACATGGGGTCTTGCGTTATCATGCAAATAGTAAATTCGATCCTGTTTTCCCTTGAGTTTTTCGGCAATCCGGTCCAATTGTTGACAGTAGAGATCAGCAGTGATGGTGCAACCATTTGGAAGAACTTCTCAGTGAATAGTTCCATTGACACCCCATCAAACGCTCAGCATCACCTTCTTGGGGTGTGGATCATCAGTCTTAGGTGTTGCTATGCCTGTTTGACTAGGGCTTAGCCACTGGCGTCTGTGCGTGTAGTTAATATACAACACCCACTTCTCATCACCGGTGATAAGATTGCGGAGCCATTGATAGTTGCGGTGAGATGTCATTAAATCCATACAAGCATCAACCCTGTATTGAAGTTGATGTGGTGATAACTCATGGGGTATCCAAACTCCATATCTCCATGTTTTTCCTAATTCGTTCAGATGTTTTTCCACCGCTGTATGAGAGCACCCAAGCTGCTCTGCTAAACACTGTGAAGTCAATCGAGTATGTTGTTCGATAAGCTGCTTTAAGAGATCCACATCCACTTCCAGTGGTCTACCGGGTCGAGGTAAATCGTCGAGTTCTAAGTTACCGTTCTTAAAGCGATTGAATCATTGTTGTGCCGTACGAATAGAGAGTACATCCTCGCCCATCGTGCTGCATATGTTGTTGGTTGCTTCCGTTGCTTTGTGACCCAGACGGAATTCATGAAGTAAAAGCACTCGAATCTCTCTACGAGAAAGATTCATTTTCAGTTCATGATCAGCGTCCATATTGATGACTTTATTATAATTCGAAAGATATTCACACTCCCTTTATATACCCTTAGTACGGAAACTTCTAGAACTTTCTCGAATGTTTTAGAACATTTTCAAAAAAAACGCAAGAACTTTGTTGCCAACCTAAAATAATTTATTGTCAAAGAAATTACTTTATTAGGTTCAAAAAGAATACTGATAAAGTATTGGAATTCATTTAGAGAAATAAAACGTATTTCAAGGTAAATTATTTACGATTGAATGTTGCTTTTCATCATCAAATTAACATACGTATCTACTGATATCTTGCAAGATATTATCTATAATTCTTTGTAAAACATGAGAAATGCCGTTTTTATTCGAGTGTTTGTCATAAATAAATGTTCTCAAACAAAAAGTAATCGAACCCTTTACTTGTTTTGATAAATTTAAAATAGATTTTATTTCTTAATATAGTCGTTGTCTATCTTTCTTTATCTCATTTTTACTTCGCGTTTCATCAAAAAATCCAATAATTTCAAATTTTTCTTTCATTCTTGGTTGACATCATTTACATTTCATGAAAAATAACATTCGCAATAGAAGTTATGGACGAATATTACTTGATATGATCATTTAATCTGTCAATTTTATATGAGCTTAGAGGAAATAATGATTGAGATGCATTGAAACTTTTCAAAGTTAAATCATTTTTCATTGTGTTCTTCGTATTCGAATTGAAGCTATATTGATATAGATATTATCAATAGTATATTTTCAATTTCATCGATGTTTAAAGTAAATTTAAATACTTGAATTATGATTAGAGTTATCCTAATTATTAAGATTTGAATCCATGTCATCACAGAGAACTGAAACATGTTGTTATTTCTGATTGTACATATACAGTAAATGTATATTACTGCTAATAGAAAACGATGGAATGGCGGATGAGACAACATTAGTCATCCTTTTTTCTAATAATTTAGTTCTTGTTTTTCTCTCGTATTATTCAAGCTGAAAACAGATATTCTCTTTTTTGCGAAAAAATTAATTTCTATTATACATCCATAAGTTATTACTTGATTTTCTATTCGTTCGCAACTTTTATTCTCCAAAAAAACATCATCCATCAATTATTACTCAAAAAAAAAAGAAATTAGAATATTTTTGAAACGTTTTCACAAGACCCGAGTCTTCTATTATGAATTTTATATCATTCGTCAAAGGAAATCTTCTAACATGTGTGTGTGTCGGAGGAAGGTTAGTAGCTTTGATTAGCTTTCTTGAATTTTGAAATAGTTCATATGTATTTCATTTACTACATTTGATATCATGCAAATGAGATAAAGATATGACATCGTTCTACGACGAACAATACAGATTCTGTATACATTTGTAAACGAGCTTGTTGCGTATTATACAATCGTATTATCACTTTGATGTATCCTAGTACTAGTACGTTACATTTTCGTCACCATATACAAGCCAATAGAATCATGTCTACATGTATATTAAAACAAAACTTAGGCAATACACAGCATACTTAAAACTATAGGGCAATTTATCGATGTTATCAAAAGTATTTTTTTGCTATTGTAAAAAAGATGATGTTATGAAATTATTTATTGAAAAATGAATAAATTCTATTCGCAAACACCAGTAGGATGTCCCATAATTTTTTTATAATATGTGCTAATAGTTTATATTGTTTACGAGAAACAAATAAATATGATAAAACAACATCACATTTTGATATTCTTATTCAAATAGTTCTATCATTATCAGGTTCACCATTACAATTAACAGTTAATAGTAAAAATTAGTGTTAATTTTGCTTTGTATACATATTCAGATAATAGTAGAAACAGCATGAAGGAAATAAATAGATTTAGACAAAATCTGCACCAGTTCATTCAACAAATACAACATATACAATGTACTGATTCACTCGATCAAACAAATTATTATTTTAGAATATGTGTTGAAAATGAATTAGGTGTAAGTGAAAACTCATGTAACCATTTTTCAAATCTTCAGGTAAGCCATGCATGCAATTTTTTTTAAACAGCTATCTATTCATACGCGATGACATCCTCTATAGTCACGTGGACGAGAAAGAGCGAAAGAACTTGTTACTCTGAAACGTAAGAGAGAACGTATAAAAATAAAAGGAAGAAAGAAATACATTTGTCAGTACGCATTGATCATTCTATTAGTTAAAATATGAAATATAGAACAATAATGTTTCTTATTTTAGATAATTTTTGTTTATATTGTTAAAATGACTTCATTAACAATTTCGACTGTTGTCAAAAGTGATTATAATACAGTTAGCGATCTTTACGAAGTTTGTTAATTATTCTTATTATTTAAATATAATTAGTACTGTAAATTTTAGAATTATTTATTGTCGGAAGGAAATATTGCTACTAAACAAGAATATGCTCTAAAATTTCAAGAAGAATTAGCAAAGCATAATACTGCAGAAGAAAGTGTTCTTTATCCAGCATTTGAACAATATCTTGGTTCAGAAGGAAAAAAAATAGCTGATCAAGATCGAAAAGAACTTCAGACAGTGTTTTCTCGTTGTCTCTCTCTCTTTTTTTTTATTTTTTATTTTTTAATTTATAGGTTAAACAACTTTTGTCTCAACTTGTATCAATATCTGTATCTGATCCACAACATTGTGTTATATTTGATAAACTTATGACTAAATTAAATGAACATGTGAAACGGTATTTTTTTGCAACATATTTATTATTTATATAAATAAATGAAATAAATTTTAGTGAAGAAACAAATGATTTACCTAAATTTGAAAACGCCAAAACACCTGATTTAAGTGCATCATTGGCTTATTCATTTCGACAAGCAAAATTATCCATACCTGTCTAGTAATTTTTTCTTCATTGTCGCTTCTATTTCTTGTTCATATTTATTTAGATAATTTTTCAAAATTCACCACACATCAATGCATTTTTATAAACAATTTTTGATCTGTTATTTATTTCCATACGTTACGCTAAGTTCATTAAATAGTTGATATTTATTCATGCTTTATTTATTTGTTTTTATTTTTACATAATAAACTAGCTTTTTGTTCATAAAATGAAATAAAAAAGTTTTTATCTTAAAAAAAATGATACATATTTAAGAAATTCTATTGAATAAAAAGTATAGTAAATGCAAGATTTAACTTGAAGTGTCACAGTTCCCCAATTATAGCTATTAGAGTCAAAGATCATTGGGTACACATTCAAAGCTATCGAGAATAATCGTCATCAGACTCTTCTACAGTTGAGAGAAACATTGAACAACATCAGCGATAAAACTAAGATTATTCTTGAAGATGTTTATGAATATTCAAAATAATGAACTTGTTGATCTTTTCAGACATAAAAGTTTATATTTAAGGTATCAAAAATTATAAGTATTATTGTATTGATTTACTACAATCGTCCTACGATCAATTTAAAAATTGATTAAAGTTTAACTTTTGAAAAATAATCAATATCAGATTTTTACCGGAAAGAGTAGTACAAAAAAATATTTAGATTACTCTTTATATTGCAAAGAGTTTTTTCGCAAAAAACTTCGAGAGCATACTTAGCATCGTTCTTATTCACAAGAACTCAGTTGTTTTATTGAAATGAAGTTAAAATATTCTGTGTGAGAATCGATATTGAACTAGCGAGACATATTGTGATTGAAATATTCGTAACTTTGTGTGTTAATATATAGTTTACCCGAAAATTTAAAACTCAAGTATGCGGTGTGAGTGTGGGTGTCAGTTTTACATTAATAACACACCCACTTTTTGTGTACATGACCAAATAAAGAATTAAGATTTTAGTTATTTATTACTTAATTTCAGAAAAAAGTCAATATAAAGTAATTTTTCATTGTCTTTCCTCACATAGTTCTATTCAAATTTGAAGCTAAATACAGATCGGGTCTGAAGTTATATCTAAATATGAACCCGGTCTCAACAAAAACAAAAACTTGGAATGAGACCCGGATCTGGAAGGATCTGAAGCTCTTTACGTTTGATAATGCATTTATCTACTGTTTAGCAGTGATTTTCCATCCTTTCTATGTAATATATAATCTAAGACTTTTATGAAGCGCAATGAGTTTAGATCAGCGACTCCGGTAAATTATCTACATGGACGTCTAGTAGAATACAGGGAGTTTTATTATTTTTCCAGGCGTTTTTTTTCGTTTTTTTGTCGGATTTAATGGAGTTCCATAGTATTGTTGTTCTCCGAGAAAGTCATGGAAAAGCCGTTTCATTACGATCAGGGTGTGGATAGGTCTGAGTCTGGATCTAGGTGTGGATGTTTCCTCTTTATGCATACCCACACCCTTAAGAGATAAGAAAAAAAATAAAGAAAAGATAGTAAAAGAACAAAGAATGAACCAAGACAAGACTACACATAGAAGACAATATGGAGTTATGTTATCGTTACATATCATAGGTGAAAAGTCTAATGAAAATTTTATTATTATTTTGGATGAATTATGATCAAATAGCGTAGAAATGTAAAGCTTTGTCTTTACTATCAGTCTATATAAAAGGAAAATTTCTTGAAGCTGTCTATACGAAATTAACATAGGACCGCCACTACTTTTGGTATGGTCTAAGCAGTTGATAACCCAAGAGGACCCCATTATATAGTAGTTGATAGATCAAGGGTACCTCTGTTATATAGTAGTTGATGACCTAGGGGTACTCCTGTTATATGATAGTTGATGACCCAAGGATACTCCTGTTATATAGTAGTTGATGACCCAAGGGCACCCCTGTTATATAGTAGTTGATGACTCAAGGATGCTCCCATTATATAGTAGTTGATGACCCAAGGGTACCCCTGTTATATAGGAGTTGATAACTCAAGGGTACTCCCGTTGTATAGTAGTTGACGAGCTATGTGTACTCCAGTTCTCCTCGCTATAAAGGGTTTTTTGTACTTTCATAAACACTTGTTAAACTTTATGAATTTATAAGGAAAGCCTTGTTGCTTGGGAAAACTTGTACTTTAACTTTAAATTTTTTAAAGTTTAAAGTTAATGTGCCACCCCTAATAACGATAAATCGAAGCGTAGAAATTGAATTATTGAAATATCTTTTTAAAATTTTTAGATTAATTACAACGATAAATCGAAGAGAACGTGTTAATATATTCAAATAATTTTTTTTTATTTTTAATTTAGTTATCACGGTAAATTGAAAGGTAATTGTTCAATTAAATAAATAGAGTTGTCTAGTTTTCAATTCTTTTTTTCTCATACAGCTGCGGTCATATATCAAAATAATCATCTTTTTTTTCATATATAATCAAAGGTGCATGAGAAAAGAAGAATTGAGACCTTCAGCCAAGTTGGACATGCTAAATATTAGTTCTTCTATTATTTGTAGAGTGTGGATGGACAAAGATATGAAAAGCTTATGAGCAATACGATGACAATCAACATTGTATACGATCGTTTACGACAGTTGTAATGCACATCCTCAGTCGTAAAAATGAATATTTCTGTGTTTCTTGTTCGCGTTGAATCATTGTTTTAGTTTATGTTTTGTATGAAATGTCGAAGTTAAAAATTTGAAAATAAGTCGTTCTGAATACTTCATGTCTTGTATGCTATTGTTTTTCTTAATGTCATTGCATAAATTTTTGGACAATATCTAAATTATTAAATGATCTCATATATGAATGGGAAAATATGTTCGATTCTTTTTTCACTATTTGTCCTTTGTTTCTTTTTCTATATTATACAGATGCTCAGGAGCGTGTCTAATCAGCCTCAGGTGAGG